ATTATTTGTATGTGGGGGGTCATGTATGCCTTGTGAAGGTCAGAAAACTATTTAGGAGAGCTGGTTCTCTCCTTCCACCATGTGGGTCCCAGGGATTGAGCTTGTGTCTTCAGGCTTGGTGGCAGGTAGCTTTACCTGCTGAGCTATGACACTAGCTCACTCTTGAGTTTGAGAAATCTGTAGAAAGAAGATGCTCTGGTTTAGGGAAAGTTTTCCCTGACCTCACTGCACAAAGCCCATGTGGTAATGGATTGCAAACTGGTCCATGGTGCTGCTGACAGGCGGTGCCTAGTGGCAGATTTTCTAGTCATTGGGTGGCATGTCCTTGAAAGAGATTTTGGAACCTCAGCTCCTTCCTGTTATTCACATGCTTTCTGATCACCATGAAATGAGCAGTTTTGCTTTTCCATGAACTTCCTGGTATGATCTTCCCTTTATCAATGGGATCAAGTGACCATGGACCAAATTTATATGCCAAAATAAACTTCTCCTCTTTTAAGTTGACTGATTTAGGTAGTTAGTTGTATTAACAGAGACTCCACTCACTCTAACCTGATACTATTTCTCACAAAAAGGGCTATTAATCAGGCCCTATCAGAAATTAAGAATTACAGAGGACATGGCATGAGGTCTAGATAAGTCACCAATGAAAGTAAGATGCATTGGCTACTTTCAAATCCTATATTGCCAATCTTTACCTCCTGTTCCCTTTCCAGTTTATTTCTTCATTGTCAAATTCTTTTCCTATCTGGCCTATAAGCAGTTTTAGTTACCTAGTACAAAGATAAAGAGTAGAGTGAGTGGTTGCAGGAGCTTGTGAGTAACTCAAGTTGAGAAAATAATGTCCCTTGCATGGCGCGACAGGAATAGTCCTACCTGCAGACTTGGTACCCAAAGGTAAAGTCCCATGTTGTGCCAATCTCCCCCAGAGTGCAGAATAGTACAAAAATCTCTTCCTTCACCTTATGAACTTATCATTCCTAATCAGTAGCATGCACTCAAACAGGGTTTTAGAGTAAAGGGAAATAAGTGCCTAGAGAGAAGAAAAATATTTAAAATTATGATCTAGGAAAAAAATAGAGGACATGGAGTTGGGGAGGATATGAGAGATGTTGAAGGTTCATGGAGTGGGAGGATATGAGAGATGTTGAAGGTTCTCTGCATATGATCAAAATACATTGTATAAAGTTCTCAATGAATCAATAAAAAAATTTTTAAAATAAAAAATAATAAAAAGAACCAGGCCAAACAAACAGAAACAGAAACAGAAACAGATGAACTCTATAGGTTACAGATAAGGCTCAAGATTGTGAGGAGGGATAAACATGAACAGTTGTCCCATCTGACTTTTCATCAGTCTGGCATAACTAAAGCAGACAAACTAAATGATTGAATGCCTTTTAAGAACAGTAACAAGTAAGAAGTTGCATAAATCATATTTCTGAGAACTCAAGTCAACAGTTGGGTTGTGACAAAGCTGGCTCCAGACTGGCAGGAGAGGCTTCCTGTTAAGAGAAGTAGGTTACAGTGCTGAGGTTATGACAAATTTCCCTATCGGGCATGGTGTTTAACTTTAAGGACTGTGCTATGCTTGGAGTGAAGCTTGTAGAAGTAGGAGCTTGGGGTAAGCCTTAGACTACCTTCTCCCAGAAATCCTAGGCTCTGGTGATCACTGAGCCACTGGCAGTCAGGAAAAGCAGAGGATTTGGGCTTTTGATTTAGTCCCTGAACTGGAGACTTCAGAAAGCTTTCTCAGCTGGAACTGATCTTATTTACATTCCCTTACATTATGTTGCTCTCTTGGCAAATTGGATTCAGAACAATGTTAAGATCCTAAAGCTTGACGGGCTATCAGAAGCCTGAGCTTGGGTCTCTGACTTTAGTGGAATTAGGTTTAGGGGAAAATGACTACAGCCACTATGGACCAGGAACAAGCTCTTGATCCAGGGAGAAAGGAGCCAGTCAGAAGGGAAGCTATCACAGTTCTGATCTATTAAGCAAAGCAAAACAGTAGCTTTTAGGAAGCTCACAAAATGAAGAGCGCATGAACCACAAGGCCACAACTACGCTCTTGGTAGTCCTGCTGATCGTAGAGGGTCCCTAGTTTCAAAGGAAGTCTTGAAATGACCTTTTTCTTGAATTTCATTGTGCCAATTCAAGACTTTCTCATTATCAGCTCACATGTCCATAAGTTGTTCTTAGCAGAATGGCATGTAGATCATCACAAGAGGAGTTCCCTGAATGGCAATTCTAAATTGGGCCTTATCAGGCTTCAAATACTAATACACACCTACAATACTACAAGTGAATTCATATTTGAAAAATTCATGTTTCTTACACTTAGTTGGACTAAATATTTCACTTGCTGTTAAGGCAGTAGACAGGATTTAATGTTGTATGTCATCTAGTGCTATAGGAATGTGCAGCAGGTCATTTCTTCAAAATGTTAAGAAGTAAGAAAAACGGAAAACAAACCTAAACATAGGGAAAGATGGAATAAGAAGGGGTTTAGTATATCATTACCATGAGGGTGATGAGGCAATATGTTCAAGTTGTGATGGGTAACAGGGATTCTGGAACATTCTCCCCCTTCTCTCCTACACCGCAGCAGCAGAGTGGATGTTGGTGTAATGCCTTTAATGTACACTTTCAAGAGTAACTAATGCAGTGATCATATAGTTATGATTTCATCCTGATCAACTAATATCCTCATTTAAAGACTGGATTTTAGCAACCCATCCTTAGACGTTTTACAGATAAGCACAGAGCACTGGGGGAAATCTGAATCTGCCCCTTTCCTATGGAGTCTTTATGCTTGGCCATATGGATTATCTGCAGGCAGATGGTCCTTGCATGGGTGTGGAATTTGCTGCTGAGCATGCCACTCACCTTTACTGATGTCTTCATATTCCAGCCAGAGTCGACGCTGGACTTGTTTATTTGGGTACCAAATAGAACAGGACTCCTCAAAGCCATAGACGGCTTCTTGGATGTAATGGTTGCCAAACTGATCCAACAAGGCCACAAAATCTGCACGAGATGTAGCCCCGTCCAGGGAGTGGAGAGCATTGTTGAAGGCTATGGAAGAATATGACCCAAGAGTAAATAAGAATGAACACTCACAGTTTAAGTACATTATTCCTAAGCAACTTAATCTCAAATATGACTGTGTAACCTACAGTGATGTTGGGAAGCTGGCTAGGAATAGCACACATTTCTGTCCAATTGAAGCAAATATTTCAGTTCCTAAATAGGCATCTCTTCAAGCTAGTTGGTTGTGCTGCTAACTTTGTGCGAGTTAAACAGAACATTGCCAAATCTCCACTCTTGCATCCCTTAAGTAAATGGTTTTGTGTCCCCTAAACCTGTAGTTCATGACATTAAATCAATTTAGTCAGCTCAATTAATAGCATTTTTAAAATAGAAAGAGAATAGCACAGTCTAAAATAGAATCATAAATACTAGCAGGGAACATTTCACATCATAAAATGAAGTATTGTTTCATGATGCCTGTGTTGTGGGAATGTGGGAGTGTGGGATGCACAAGGTCATGGCATAAAAAAATTATCCTGTGGGTAGAAAGTGTGATGGTGGCTGGAGAGATGGCTCAGCAGTTAAGAACACTGGCTGTTCTTGCAGAAGACCAGCGTTCAAATCCCAGCACCCACATGGCAGCTAACAACTGTCCGTAACTCCAGTTCCAGAGGATCTGACAGCCTCTTCTGTCCTCTGTGGGCATTGCACGTCATGGGTGCACTTACCTACGTGCAGGCAATACACATATACACATAAAATAAAAATAATAAATAAAATATTTTTTAAAATTTAAAAAATTGTGATGGCTAATAGTGATTGTCAGTTTGACAGATTTGAATCAGGAGCTAAAATTTTTGGTATGTCTGTAAGAGAGTTTCTAGATTAGGCTAGTTGAGGTGGGAAGCTATACCCTAACGCTGGGTCCTGGGCAGACTAAAAGAAAAAGCAGGCTGAACACTAGCACTCCTCTCTTTCTCTGCTTCCTGAGCATGGGCACAATATGACCAGCTTCCTCCTGTTCCCCTCACCGTGCCTTCTCAGCTGGACGGAACACACAGTTGAACAGCAACCTAAAACAAACTTTTCCTTCCCTAAATTGATTTTGTCAGGTATTTTTTTCACAGCAATGAAAAATTACCTAATACAGGAATCAAACACACAAGAAATGGGTGATGTGAAGACAGTGGAAGAATAAAAATAAGTCACTAAAATACTGCTTATATATTTTATTTTAGAAGAATCCAAAGAAAAAGGACCATGAAAGAATGAACAGAAGAAGAACCCTGCTTGCCTTTTAACCCCAGCCAAATCTTTGTGATTTGGCCTCTCTTTAAGAAAGTTATACCACAGGAAAGATGGCCTATAGTAAATTTTCCAGTTTTAATACTTTCTGTCTGTCTAAATCTGTGCAGTCCTCCTTTCTATACTCCTGTGCTATTTCAGGACAAGGTAAAGTCTATCCTAGGCAAGAGACATCAATGATCAAGGTCCACATCACTTATGACACTATTATATCACATTGATGGGCCTGTGGCAACAGGCATGTCTGAGTGCTAACCCTGTAATGCCAAACAATTGTGCTGGGTGCACATTAGGTAGAGCTTTACTGCCTTGGTTTCCCAGAATGAGCAGTAACTTAGTCTTCTAGATGCTGTACTTGAAAAGTTCCCATCAGTATAGTCCTCATTTCAATCCCTTCATGCCAAGAATTCTCTTGAATTAAAAAGTCAAAATTCTGAGCCCTGTTGTATTGTGTAGAAATGTTCTAACAGTTCTGAGTCTTACAGTGAGAATGCTATAGATCTTTCACTCATTATCTTTCTTTATTTATGAAGGAGTACTCTGTGCATATATATCGCATTTCTTAGACCTTGTTTGGCCTCTACCATTTCTTTTGTAGCCCTAAGACTCTTCTTCCAATGCTGACTCTAAGACCCCAAATAAATTTAGAAGTCACTACTCCTTCACTTATTAAAGTATAGATGCACTTCTGTTTATCACTCTGTTTTATGTATAGATTAGTATATATAGAATATTTCTGTTGCTATCTATATTAATCTATGACACTTGCTGTTTAGGAAACGTCAGCTGTTTCCTGTTGTTTTCCTTGTCCTTTCTTTCTTGTTCCCTTTATATCATCACAGAAATCTTGAAGTCATGTTCTTTGCTTTTGAAATGTTTATTCTGACAATTTATGAGAAGTCTGGTTTTAAAATATACTCTACCCACTCTAGATCACTCCAGGAAAAATGATCTTTGTATTGGTTCCAGCCTTGCTTATTCCATCTCTTCTGTTTTCCAAGATACACCTTGCAATTTAACCTGTACCCAGAAAAGGATCCTAACCATTTGCCCCGAAGAGTAGATTGAGTGCATTGCTTGTGTGTCTCATGGAATCGCTGTGTGTTAGGCTGCTTCTGCAATACCGAGTTTAATCATCCCTTCAGAAAAGAATCCTTAGCCCTGGGGGTGGGGAAGGGAAGGCTTGCTGCAGTGCTCACCCTGGGAGAGAGATGCTTGGTTGAGTTTGATGTGGTACATCACAGACCGAACCTTCCAGTGCTGCAGTACAGGGTATCCAGACACTTCACTGAAGTTCACCATCCCTGGGGACAGAGAAGACAAAGGGTCAGTGTGTGAGGTGATTCACTAGTCCCAACTTGAAAAACCCTGACTCAACTCGATTAGGTTAAGGATTTTAATGATGAGAAAATGATGAAGTGCTCTTTGATGAAGAGACCTTCTAGAAACAAAGTCGTAACAGCCATCGTTTGTTGAACTCTTCCTAGTGCCAAGCGTTTTGCTAAGTACCTTGCATATATTAAGCCACAGGTGATATAGGTGCTATCATCTGCACCCGATAAATGAAGACACTGAGACCTTGAGAGGGTGCTCATATAAGGTCCGCTAGACACTATGTAAGCCAGGATAGATTCCCAGATGTGCCTGAACCCAGGGCCAGACTCCTTATTCATGCTATTGTAATATCAAAGAATAAATTCATATTAAATCCAGACTTTCTGTAATGCCAATTTTTAGTCTCCTTAATATTTGCAGTAATTGACTCAGCTCACGTATCTGCAACATTGATTATTCTGTCTCATTTAACTGATTTGTGCTTGGTATTTAAGCTTTAATTACTCTGAGGCTGATAATGCTTATTTCTTCTTTACCCATTGAGATAGTGTCAGGGTGACTAAATCATTAAGGGTCAGTGACAGCCAAACATCAAGTGCCATCTATATGTCAGGCAATGGAAAATGAATTTATGGTGCACATTTTACAGATGAGAAAACCGAGGCTCTGAGAAGCTAAATTAGTTGTCCAAGGGCCTTCTCAACATATGCCTCCTTAGAGCTGTTTATGGATATTATTAATAGGCTGCTTTTCCTTGAGAGCTTGGAGAATGAATTCCCCTATTTGAATTCTAGTCATTACTGTAAATATGATGCTGCATATTATTCAGGAATGCTAGTGAAACAAAATAATTAGGCCACCCACAGGAAATAAAGAAGAGCCTTCCTAAGTTTAGAAAACCAATTTTAGGGTTTGGAGAGGTGGCTCAGCAGTTAAGAATAATTACTTACTACTCTTCCAGAGGACCTGAGTTCAGTTCCCAGCACCCATGCAGGGCTGCTCACAACGGCCTACAACTCCATTCCAGGGGATCCAAAGCCCCCTTCTGTCCTTTATGGGCATTACATGGACGTGGTACAGATATATACATGAAGGAAAAAAATAATTGTAAACGTAAAATAAGTTTAAGAAAGGAAAACCAATTTTAGCTCCATTTCTGTGCCTAACATTTGCTATACATGTATGACACATGAACTTATGTATATTCACATATGTACAAATACACAAATATACAGTAAGTTATATATTCTATGCATGATTTATAGGGAGAGTATGAGTGTACAGATATAATGGCAAAGACACACATGTAGTCAGTTATTCAGCCATTTTGACCAATGCTTCCTTAAACAAGATTAACTCATTTAATACCTAAACTGAATGGAGAGTGGGCAGGATTAATTAGCTACTTGTCAACTCTGATCAAATTAGGTGAGTAATTACCAAATTTCCCTTTCTGTGTGAATGAATCATATGGGAATAATTATTGGTAAGGTAAAAAGAAAAAAGGTCAACAAAGGTTACTTAGTGAATCAATTGCTTACATTTTATCTTAACCAAAGAAAAGTCCTAAAATGAAGAGCAGGTTTTCAGTGCTCTCTTTCTTTGAAACCTTTGTCTTTTAAGACATTAAGCTTTGTGATGACAGCCAAACTACTTCATCCACTGATTTTTAACCTTTATGTTAACTTCAAAAGCATACAAATGAAATGAAAATTTTACATGTTTAAGATTTCAGTATCTTTAAGGTACATTTTATGAGTGCAGTTAGAACCATTCGATAGAACGGCTATGCCAGCATATCCACTCTGTTAGTATTTGAAAAAAAGCCTATTTATAAAACACAGCAAGTCTAATAAATAATGAGCTTCGGCATATTGAGGAAAGATCCCTTTAATTGACTTGTTTCCTAGTGGAAAAAGAAATCGGTAAGAAATGAGGAGGACAGAGGACAGAATCTGCCTGAGCTGCTACAGCCTGCAATTTCATGATTATCACTTGGATGTCTATCACTCTTCCTTCTTACAACCCGAGGAGCCTCTCTCTGGCTGTCTGGCTATGGGGTAGTCTAGTTCCCATTTGTTTAATCTGCAACATGAGAGGCTTGGCTGAAATGACCTGTTGCTTCCTTTGCAAACCCATGATTTCTGTTAGCTGTATGATTTGGGGTTAAGTGATTCAAGTGTTTTCATTTTCATATCTGAATAGTGGGGCTACAAGTATTTATCCTGTTTACTATACATACTATTTATATACATAAGTAGGTGGTGGAAGCTGAGTAAAATCATGTGCATAAAAGTGTTTTCAGAGAAAATAAAGCATCAAGCACATGCATGTCTCTATAATGCTGTCATCTTCTGCCTCTTTACCCCCTATCACCCATATATGTATAAACTTGCCATTTCTTAATTGATACATTAATATGACTTTTCGTGCTTCATTCCAGAACAACAGAGGGAATTTAGAAATAAGGAACAGTCATAGATGTGGGGAGGTAGGGGTGACAGAATCCCACATCTACCTAGAATGACTTAATAACGGAACTCCGTTACTTAACTGCTAAACGCAATTCTGCTGGATGCACTTAGGCTATAGTGCAGTGAGGGAAATAGTTACATAACCGTTAATGCTTGAGGAGTGCTTCTCTGTCGGCTTACAGACAATACTTCTCTTTGTTAAAAAGAAGTGGATAAAGTATATGTTTTCTAGCTGAGTCATATGATTCTCAGTGTGTCCTTGACTTGCAGTCAGGTTTATTTGTTTTATTTTATTATCATCTGGGGACACATTTCTGCCAAATGGCTCTCTTTCCCACAAACAAAATATCTCTGGCTATGTTTTCTTGAGAAAGAACATTATTTGTTTTCTATTTATTTTTTAACCTATTCTCAAAAGAAGTTACTGAGCATAACTGTGTACAATCTGAAAAGAGAACGGGAGGGACAGTAAGGGGAATGAAAGAAAAGGGAGGGGAGGAGAAAGATGGGAAAGATAGAGGACAGGAGAGAAAATGTAAGAGTATACAGGTGGGCAAAAGTCACAAAGCAAACTCTATGCATAATCTGCAGCAATCAGCTTAGAAAACCACCCCACTGTCTCTGCTAACCCATCCAGGGAGTCACCCTGCTGGCTATCCACAAGTCAGCTGTGTGGAAACCAGAATCAGTCTTATCACATGGCCCAGAAACCAGCAATTGTACCCAAACAACCAGGATCTTATTAATGACTAACAGTATCTCTAGACCTAACAACAACAACAACAACAACAACAATAAACCAAATATGTATCTCTAGCCAGTGACATAGGATACCCGGTTCTAATTACCTAGCCTATTGTTTCCTCATGCCAGCAGCTACCAATAAGTCCTCCATTTTCTCACCATGAAGGTTTCCCACTCTTCTGCTAGCCTTTGAGTCTGTGCCAAAATGCACACGCTCACTGGCGTGTCCCTTACTATGAACAGTCTAGAGTAAATAGCTGTTACCTGATCTCATTTGGTTGGACTTCCTTTATATCCATGCAACCTGGGGAATGTCAGAAAGGCCTGGGAAGCTCAGAGTGCTTAGCTGCTATTTTGAGGAATCCAGTGAAGACACATAAATCAGCATTTCCAGTGTGTTATTTAATAATTATGCCAGATGGCATGTGTGAAAGGATTTTCTAGTTAAATAGCATTGGGAATTGCTGGGTTAAGTAAAGTGAAAGGAATTTCTCTCCTGCAGGCTTAGTAATGTGAAGGTGATAGAAATTGCTAAGAGAAGGATGCATGCAGTTTTTCTGAATATATTTGAAGACATAGCCCATTTATGAATAGAGCTCTGAATTTTCATGAGAAGAAAACACCCACCCAGAGCTCAGGGACCATTACAGAAGAGAGGGTGGAAAGATTGTAAGCACAAGGGAGGAGATGCATGACCATATGGAAAGAGAGTCCTACAAGTTCCTGCTCATATGAACCTAGAGCAATGGTGTCAGCATGCACAAGACCTATGCAAACTCAAGCAGACAAAAACCCAATACAGACCTGGGGAAATGGACAGCAGGCCCCAATCTTAGCTGAAGAAATATTGGCTAATATTGATTATTGCTGGGTGAGGAAGAGCTGATCTTCCTGAAGCAAAGGACTCTGAGATCTACTGGATAGATCTCAGTAGATGACCTTGCACTGAGGAACGTCTGGAGACACTAACTTGATGCAACAGGCCTTAAGACAAATGACAGAATGTATAAATAGTATGGGGGACTATGAGATGGTATCATTGGGGAAGGGGGTATAAAGATGATTAAGACTGACTGAGATGTTATTTATGAACTACACAAAAATTCAACAAAAAATTTTAAAAACGAGCTCAAAAGTACAATAAATAAAAAAGCAACAAAAAGCTCACATCTTGCTTGCATCAAAGAAAGACATGCTCTTGAGCTAATTAGTTCCACTTAATCAAAATAGGTTGAAACAAAGGTTGACTAGAAAAACAGCCAGTTCAGGAAGAGTTCCCTATGAATTTCTAGTTCCCTCTGCCTTTTAACCATGAAAAACATTAAGGTCTTGTCAGGTTTTTTTTTTTTTTTTTCTTTAGTCCAGTAAGTCACATTAGGAGAGGCTCAAAAACACAAAATAAAAACACATTTCTGATGTGGATAGGGACATAATTGGTAGCTTTTCCTTATCCCAAAGATATGGATTCCACTGCAGGCTCTTCTGATGTTTCTCAGCTCTTTGCCCTCTACTTTCTAACAATCTTCTGGCAGCATCCAGAGTTACTCTGGGTGATCTGGGGTTTGCAAGGCAATCTTCCCCTTCACAGTATATTATAAACCAGGGTGGGGGGAGATCCTTAAACAGTAGCTTATTAGTGAATGGAACCTTCTCTGCTTTGTTGGTAGGCACCACCCCAAGCTTACACACACACACACACACACACACACACACACACACACACACACGGAGTGTTTCTCAGTAAGTTATCAGGAAAGGCTGCTAGGGATGTATACTTTCTAGGAATCAGTTCAGAGTCTGCATTTTAATATTACCAGTTCTCTCTCTCTCTCTCTCTCTCTCTCTCTCTCTCTCTCTCTCTCCTCTCATCTCGTTTCCTTTCCTACTATAAGGAAGAGACTTATAAGCATATCCAATCTTTTGATGACACAACTATGTTGGTGCATGACATTGTAAAACTATCTCATAATGTTTTCAGTAAGTTTATAACCTTAGTGCTATCTACAGCCATGTGTGGCCTGTGAGCCTCAGGCTGGACATACTCAATTGCAGTTTTCATAATATTTTCTTTTTTTCTTGGTACACTTATTTAGTTAAGAAACAATGTCCACTATATGTCAGGAATCAGTTTATTATTTCTGTAATCACTTATATAAATCTGAGGAAGATTATTATAATAGCCATTACTTCAGGTAAAAGACACTAAAGTATGGAGAGGTTATACTTGTCTAGATATTGGAGCCGATGAAGAGCTGAGCCCAGCTGTCAGGCTCTGGAGCCCAGGCTAATAATCACTAGGCTACATTGCCTCAGGAAGAGCCACTTCTAATCCCTGTCATGTCTAAAATTTACAGCCAAACTTGGTATTTGGCGAAAGTTTATACTCAGCCATTCATTAGGAAAAGGGGCAGAAGGCATAGAATAAGGGAGACAGGATGAATGAGGGCGATTGAATAATGTAGAAACAGCACAGCCATCAATGAAATGAAGCTTGTGAGCATCATTCAAGAACCACACCTGATGTTAAATCACAAGTTCTCTGCTTTTCTGGAGTCCATGGGGCATCTGAAGTCCCATTTTTGTTCTAAGCAATGCTATCCAGGAGCCTTCAGAGACTCAAAGGGGAATGTCACACCTACAGGTCCCTACCTTTGTTAGTCATGCCATATCTGTCTCACATGGGCCATGAGGAGGAACACCGTGGAATGGAAATATGGAGCGGCTGGCTTTATTGTCCCCATATCATGATGAGGGATCACAGGCCCCCACAGAGCAGAGCTAGGTTCAAAATCAGCATCATTTGCTCATAAAACTCTATCACTTTCTATATCATCTCACCGCTCTATAAACACTTTCCAGGGAGCTCAACCATAGCAATAATGCAAATTGAGGAGGTAGGAGCAATCCCTCTTCTCCCTCTGCTTCCATGACCTGCATAGCATCTCTAACGCAACCAAAAACTCTGAACTCTTACACTTCTGTTAGGCCATTTGTTTCTAAAGAATTCCTATAAAATTTATCAAATAAAGATACCACAACCATGTTGTAATGATTATATGAGAATACTGACAGTTTTACTGACAAATAATCCTAATATTGCTTGATTTTAGAACTGATCATTGTTTTAATGAGATAACCAGCTTAAAAACCAAAATGAGCAATGTCAAGCAAGTGTCCTGATTTTATGAAACCACAGGGAGCTGCCTGGATTTGACTGGCTGAAGGAAAGCATACTCACCAGTCAGGAAGTCGGGGTCAGGGGTGGGCTCTGAGATTTCCTCGAGGCACTGATTCTCCAGAGGGACAGTGGCCACCACAAGACCATCAGGCAGTTGCTGGTCCAAACCACGAGCAAAGTTGTTTTGCCTAGAAACAAGGCAGATCTTTATTTGGGGTGTCCAGGGAGACACTTCTCAGTGTATAGTCTATAGTTAGTTCAACACTCAATGTAAAAATTCTTTCTGGACCAAAAAGTTCTCCTCATACCAAGAATCATTTGACACATATGACAAAAGTAAGAAATACGAGTAACAGAGGAAAGGTGGGGGCAGGGAGAGGAGAAGAAGACCAGCTGAAAATTTACTGACAGCATAAAGAATCTTCTCCTCAGCCCCAGTTTCTACCCTCTCATCCTCTCTTGTCAGGATGTAGACCCTTTCAGTGTCATTTGTAGACACTGAAGACTGTCCACCACAAAATCAGCTCTGACACCACAGTTCTTGCCTCTGGCAAACCAATTCCATTACTGAAAGGGAACAATATGTGTAAAAACTCTTGTCCATAACTGAAACAAGAACTAAATGCAAGCACTGTCTTAGAAATTTGCTTTCAACTTGTTCATGAATATAAGCTAAGATTGCTACCAATTCTCTATATCATAACACCGACATTAGCAGCAGCAGCATTTTCTCATGGAAAGCATTTTCCCTTGGGTTCTGTCCTCACTGTGGTCATCATCATCATCATCATCATCATCATCATCTTATGGTAAGCATTTTCCCATAGTTTCTGAGGAAGATGCATTCAAATAGCCCAAGGTGGAACAGGTACAAAGATGAATTGGAGAATCTTTCAGAAATTTTCTAAATAGATGGTTAAAAATGTTTTGTTCTCAGGACTACTTTATACTCTTAAAAATTAGTAAAGGCCCTAAATAGGTATCCATATGGTCCTGATCATAAATGTCAATATTTACCATATTAGAAATTAAAACAAAATTAAAAAAAAATAAGTCATCTAAAGGCACCAATAAACCCATTCAATATCAATTTGTTTTATGGAAAAGGATGGATGACATTTTTCTTATAATTTTTAAATGGCTGTCTTAAAAGAAGGCACCAAATTCTTGCAACTTGTTAAAATGTGTTTTTTGAGTTGAAGTATATAAAGAAAATTCAGCCCTTTTATTAAGTAGAGCCTGAGTATTCTCTGAAGGATTTCAGTGATGCTCACAGATCCCTGGACCACAATCTGAGGACTGATGTTCGACCTTATTTACAACCTGGGTTTTAATGGAGAGAAAATGGAACCTGAACATTTTGGTGTGCCTTCAGTGCAAAATTTTGAAGATAAGATTTCATTTAAGTCTTTACTATTCATCCAGAGGCAGGATGACTCTTGGGGTCTCAAATAAAGAGTATAAACCTGAATAAGATCATGGGCAAGAGTGCAATCTGTCCCTTACGGCATATCACATTCACCTTAATCCAAGATATATAACTTTATTCTAAGGATGAAGCTCTCCAGAGAGGAAGGTATACCAACAACACTGAAAAATCAGTTTTGTGCACTTGAGGTTCACCTGAATGTTCCTTTCAGCACCTGTCCAGTGGCCACTTCCTTGGACTGGTTGTTGTAACCAAAGAACATCTCCCCAAAGAGAGTCTGGTTCATAGGAACTTCCCTGCTTTCCCCACAGTCACCTCCCTCCAGACAGGTCTCTGTGACAAGTTGGCAAGAGCGTCCATCCACACCAAGTTTGTAGTCCTCGATGCACCTAACATGGTAGAAAACTCAAGTTAAGTTATTCAGCAATGAAGCATGATGATGATGACAAACTCAACAACTTGGGAAGAATTACCCTTGGGACAATGTTGGATGATTAAGTGGGAAAAATCCAATTTGATTTTGACCCATTTATAACTCAGTTTCTTAAACCTATAAACCAAAATTCTTTCTGTCATGATCAAGTCTGTTCTTTTTCCCTCCTGTCCTTAGAAGATAAGTCTTTCAGAACTTAGAAGCCCTCACTTGTCCTAGCTTTCTGATTTTGAAATAGGTCAAGTTAAAAAGTCATAGGATATAAGTTTACGAATGAGTTAACAAGGCATTGTAGGATTTCCCTCAAGAACAATCTATGGAGTAAGTTCCTGCATTTTTGGTAGGGTAATTAGACAACAAAAAAGTGACACTGTGCTTAAGAAATTAATAACTTTCTAATCTGGTCTTATGACAAGTCAACGAAGAAATGAGGAAGATTTATGATCGTCTAGCTATATTCCGTTTTAATGTATCCAAACAAAAAAGCAACCGATACAAACTCCCTCTCCATTACAGCTGCCATCCTGAACTAAATAGATGCCAGGGCACACAGTGTGAGTACCATGTGCTCCATTAACCAGCAACTGACTCATTAGTGCTCTCTCTATTGCATTATTCTAATGGGAAAGTAATACTAATTTGCTAATCCTGGGTCAGTGACTCATAAGTCATTAAGTGGACTTTATTTGTAGTTATATAATGAACAATATGCATTTGTTTAACTCAGGTAAAACCTAATTCTTTGATAACACTTGTGCTGGATAGCTTTAGTTGTCAACTTGACACACCTGGATAGAGGGACTCTCAGTTGGTGAATTGCCTCCATTGGACTGGCTTGTGCCTATGTTTGTGGGGCATCTTCTTGATTATTGAATGATGTGATGATGTGAGAGAGGCTGGTCCACTGTGGGTGGTGCCGCCCCTAGGCAGGTGGGCCTATGTTGTATGAGAAAGCAGGTTAAACACTGGCCAGGGAAGCAAGCCAGTAAGCAGTGTTCCTCCATGGCCTGTGCTTCAGCTCCTGCCTTCAGGTTCCTGGCCTGAATTCCTACTTTGGGCTCCCTGATGAACCATGACCTGGGAGATGTAAGCCAAATAAACCCTTTCGTCCTCAAGTTGATATTGGCCAGACTGTCTTGTCACAGCAATGAAGAAACAAACTAGAACAACACTGCTATTGAAAAATAATTTTGATGTGTTTCTCTCTTTAGAATTTATTTAGAATTTCAAGATGGCCATGACATTAAGCACATCATTCACCACCATCTGTAGTAACTGTAAAATGTTAAAGACTTTAGTCTCATATAGAGGAACAAATGATCATAGTTTTAAGAAGTGAGACACAATATTGTAACAATAATCACTCTGTCTTTCATTGGTTAACTCTGGCCCAATTGATTAAACTCTCTAAGTTTCAGTTTCCAAAAATGTGAGAAGGGTGGGGGAAGTGGATGTTTCACTAGGCAATTGAGAAGATTAAACTGAACATTTAATATAAAGAGTTTATACCACACTGAATATGTAGCTAGTGCTCATTAAATGCTGCTATTATCATTAGCAGAGGTGCAAATGAGGCCCATGTTCATACAACTTTAACTACTAACTTTTCCCATTTTCTGTTTATATATGAACAGGTATGAAAAGGGCTCTTTAATTATAAGCACATGTGATTTGGTCTTTATACAAGAACCTCAAATCAGGACTTACCTGACAGGTTATATATATATAGTGCTTTGAGTAACACTAATGAAACATGCATCTAATTCTGACTGAAACAGGAAAGAAAGACCAAGGAACAGACATGATTCAAGACCCACAGAGACCCCCATGACTCCAGCAGAGGTCTGGGACAAGACTATGAAATGGCTCCTTCCTCAAACCATAAACAGGGGTTTGGAGGAAGAAATTTAAAGCTGACTGGTTTCATTTCAGTCCATCTCAAACATCTTGACACATTCTCTCCCACACCGGCCCCATTTCCCATTCCTTTGGCCTATGCATCACAGTATAAACTCTTTTGAGGAAGAAGGCCAGGTCTGGCAGCTCGCTGTTCCCCCTGTATCTAACACCCACCTAGGTTCTCTATACAGACAGGCAATGAAATGTATATACAGTAAATAAAAAAGGATGTAACTTCAACTGAGTCTGCTTCTATTTATTGAAGTGGGTCAACCTTAATGGCAACATTATAGAGAACATTAAAATTTAGAGCAAGCTTCTATTTATGGACTAGGATTTTACAAGAAACTAAATACAAAAATTGCTCAATTGCAAAAAATGAGATAAAACATAGTACAATAAATGAATACTACAGCTATGCTGAACAATCTTCCCATGGTTTCTCAGCAGGCACTGGCTTTTAACAACAATCTGACATCGTTTTATGACTATAAACATTGATTTTCATTGCAAGCTCATTAGATGGAGAGATCCTTGAAGACAAGTACTAAATGTTTTTTTCTCTTTGCAGTCCAGTGGTCAGCATGGTTTGTGGTATAAAGTGAACACCCCAGTTGACTTGCAGGAAAGGGATGGGGTGGGTCAGTTGAGGAAGGAAGTGGGGAGGGTTGGAAGAGGAGGGAAGGATAGATCGGCATAACAGAATGGACTAAATATTTACTTGGTAAATATAGCATGAAAATGTCTTTAAATATAATTCCACGCAGTGATATAAATTTAAATTTTGAGAAAACTGCAAAGCTTTTAAAAAGTCAGAGAAGGCCTAAAGTTTGGTCCTAATCTTCCCATTTACTAACTTTCCAATCTTGAGGGGGATACTTAACCTCACTGGGCATTCCTTTTCTCGCCTATGAAATGGTGTGGTATTGCTTACCCTGTTCCCTCCCAGGGGTGGGGAGAGAGCTGATCACAGGGGAAACCTCTTTACCCTGAGGAATTCATTATTCTGCCTGAGGAGGGGTGGTTGTGAAAAATGCAGGGACAGAACTTGAAGTTTCCATTCTTCTAAAATCACCTTTCTTTGATAATTGGGATTTATATAATCTTTCTCAAGTTTTGGACTACGGGAATGCTGTGACAAAACATATAATTAACATAGCTCCTCAAAAGCATAGTTTGGAAATTTCTCGCTTAATTAAGCAATGATTTATGTAAACCATGTGGTTAATTTCCCCTTGCAGGTAAACCAGAGGCTTGGTTTCTGCAGCGACAAGGGTTACCACCCGTGTCTATTAGACTTGTCCTAAGGTTCCTATCAACCCAGTCTCCACCTATGCTACGGGCTCTCTCCTCAGAACCTAAAGGGTGGCCATTTACATGGACCTTCTGCGATTTCAACACCAAAAGTCCCTTAGCCCAGCAAGTTTCAGGGATACTCACCCACAGAACATGAGGATGTTATACAAGGTAGGGTCATCCGGGAATGGCGCCATCTGCTGGAGACACAGCTGTTCACAGCCTCCGTTGAAGCCATCTGAGCAGTCCACCCCGATGTGCCGGTCATAGCACCCTGAGCTGTCCTTCATGGGGCTGAGTCCGGAGGGGCACTGGTACAACCAGAAAGCGTTCACACAAGAGGACCGAAATGCAACCACTGACACACTCTGCCTTGACACTATTAATCCTGGCAAGGAATCCATGAACTTCCTTCTGTGCTAGTCTCCCCTTTAAAGAAAATGGCCTTTTTCGACATCTTGCTTCTGTCTGGGCACAGATCGCACACATCTGCATTAAGTCCCTGGCTCCAAATAGGCTGAAGGGAGCACTGTAGCAAGACATAGCAAGTGAAGTGTGTTGCTTCCCAATTGGGCCTCAGGCTGGCAGAAGAGGGAAAGTCATGGACCAGAATTAAAATGCATTAAGCAGGGATTCCTGTGGACTAGGGAAGGCAGTGCTGCCGTTTGAACTTAATATTAAGTGGGCTTTCGTCAGTGTCCAGAGCATTTTATCAGCTCTCATACCAGTCCACAAAGTTGGAGAAATGAAGTGAGCCAGAACTGCCAGTCTGGGGATAGAACCTACAGCCTTGGAGAGGGGTTTGATGGCTGTCATAGTCGGAGCTCTTGAGCTCAACACCTTGCTTCCTCAAGGACACCCCTTGGAAGCCACACAGTCTACAGCACCTACTACATGAGCACTCATGGGTGCTATGTTTGGGTTTGGGCCTGATACTCTGAATGAGGAATTTTGGCTTTTCTATACTAACTGTCCTCAATAAACTCCCCAAGTATGAGGAAAGCTTAAAGAGCTCAGGTCCCGAGAAAATGCACAGGGTTAGGTGACCCTTAACAGCACTTGCACTGCTCTCATTATATGCCAGGAAGTGGTCTAACTCATCCTCTAACCCATTCCTCACAACAGCCGGATGATGTAAGTAGGGTGACTATCCCCATTTCTCCTATGAGAAAACAGACATGCAGTGTTTAACTCCCAGTTGTGGCAAGCAGGTCCACACTTGAATCCTTGGCAGGCTGCTGTGGTCTTCTAACCCGGTGATGCTATCATCTGCTCATGCCACATTCTGACTCTGAATGATAATCCTATTTACTGAACACTTACAGTAGCCTGCATTATTTTCTATCAGAAACCCCTGTGTTATCCCCATTTGAGGACAAGGAAGCCATTGATATTGCACAGAACTCTCTAAAAGCTCATGACTTTTTGCCACCAGGCTTCTTGTGCCTGTGCAGAGATGCTGCTTATTAACATTAGAGCTGATGTTGACAGGCTGCGAGGGGAAAGTATGTAAGCCAGGTTCAAGTAGCTAGAATGGGTCAGAGTTGTTGACGTGTCTAAGGTTTTATTTCAAAGCCCAGGATTTTAATGAGTGTGATGTGCATGTGTGTGTGCGCATGCCTATTGCTGGCAAACACAGTGCTCTCAAATCCCAACACAACTTGTAAAGCTTGGTGGCACAGTGTGACATCTCCCTCACCCCACCTGGCTTGTCATCTCTCTTTCTTACAAATCACTTTGACCTAGTAGCCCAGAGCTTAGGACTACTGCAGAAGTATCTCCAAAAACTCACCTCTCCTCCCTCCTCCTTCCCCATCAACCATTATAGCAGGATATGATTGTTTACTGACACTAATTCCATAATTTCCCCCAACAAAGGCCTCTCATGCCCCTAGTCTGGTCTATTCTCTCTCCTTATAAGAAGGCATTAAAGTGCTGGAAGGTGAGAGTATTTAAGGAAGTTTGCAAGGGCTGCCGCCTGCTGTGCAAACCCAGCTGTTCTCCATCACGGTGATGATGGTAAACAAGCAAATGAAGCATCTGAGGATTGCACCCCATGATTTGTTAGCCCCCCACCCATCAAGCTCCTTGGCTACCCAGTTGTTAGGCCAGATGTCACTAGAAGGGGTCCAGCTTTAGCACGATGTGGCTGCCCAGGCAAGATTTGGGTATGGAAACCCAAAGTGTGATTGGAATTAAATGGCCTGTACTGGTTGCCATAAGTCCTTTTTCTGTGTCATTATTATTTTTTTTTTCCTTTTCTAAAGCTTGTTAGAAGCCATCAAGCAGAGATAAAGCCAGTCCTCCTGTGAGTCCTGCCTCATGTGATTTCAACCCTCATACCAGCTAGCGTTATCAGTCACCAGCCAGGACCCCAGCTTCTCTGCCACCTGCTTTTTTTTCCCAGGCTGCTCCATCAACCATGATCTTTGACAAAGATTACTGAATGAAATCGTGGCAGGCTTTGTTCCGGGATTCCAAGTTCTGGCACACCTACATCTTGCCTGGTCCTAATGCCTAGACGACCATGGCTATTCCAAATTAGACTGCCTGGTGTCCATATTCTCTTAGGAGATTTGAAGAGAAGGCAGTTTTAGCTACTATGTCCAAGTGGGATATTTTTGCTTTAAGTAAGGCTAAAAATAATAACCATAGCTATCATGAATTAATCAATTTTTTCTATAAGGCATTTTAGTATCTATTTATCATCTATCTATCTATCTATCTATCATCTAATCTATCATCTTTCATCAATGGCCCCAACAAAACACAGGTATACTTTACAGTCTCTATTTTATAGATGATTCAGAGAAAAAACCAAAGTAACTTGTTTACGGTCACCAGGGTAGAAAATGGCAGAACCAGATTTGGGGCCTAGATCTCTGTGACCCCAAAGCTTCTGTGTGTCCCTTCCATTCTGACATTCTGTTGCCCACCTGCGGCAAAATCTGAATGCCTTGGAAAAATGAATGCAATGTGTCAGTGTAAAACAATTTTGTAGATTCATTGTTTGACTATTTTAAGTCATTTCTGAGGCATATTCTTGGGTCAATTATGGACTTAAAGACTCAGCCTAGTATTTTTTCTATGTCTCTACAGACACACACACACACACACACACACACACACACACACACACCACATCATTAGTGGAACTATTTTAGGACAAAACACTGCAAGCTGTCCAGAGTGATGACCTTGAAGGCAAGACAAGATTCCAAGAAAGATGCAATTATCTTTATTGTACTGTAACTAACTTGGGCTCAGTTTAAAGTATTTTAGAACTATTTCCAGGAAAAAGAATGTTGAAATAAAAACCAGAGATTTCTTCCCAACTCCTGATATCCAGATCACCCATTTCCCAGGCAGCTAATCAATCAAACACCCGTTATATAAATTTGGTTTCTCAGGCATTTTCTTTTGTTAATATATTCAGATATTAGGTTTCCTCAAAATCTTGATCTAAATACAAAGAGATGCTGCAGTCAACAAACTATGCCCCTGCTTCTAGAAGTATATGCAGTCCAGCCTAGGGGTCAGAGTGCTTGTCTATAGAAGTTGCATTTTCTGCAGGCAAGAGTTGATGGACTCTTCTCCTGGCTATGCACAGTCCTTTCTCTTCTTCCTTGAACAAAACCATTTGCCCAGGAGACAGCCCCAAGGTCATGTATTAACCTCACTTTGCATAGGTTACATTTAGTAGTCCCCGGAACTTTATGGGCTACAGACTTAAGAAAGCACCATTTATTATAGCCATAGCCCTCCCCTATCAAAAAGGTCTAATAAATGAGCTCATACTTCAGTGACCCCTAAAATACACAAGGTTAATCATCTTTCAGGAGATGTCTATGGCTTCTTGACTTATTACTGGTCTAAGGCATAATTTGCTAATGAGATTAAAATGGTTTTTTCCATTCAACTCCTTTTCTTTGCAATCTTTCCCCCTCTTTTCCTACCAATGATTCTGGGTTGATTAATTACTTAGGAGGCTGAGGCTGAGACACAGACATCTCAGTTCCAGATTATGAAGTAAATGCTCTGTTGGCAGATGATATGAGTGATGGACACATGAGCTTATTCAGTGCCTCTGGGATGAGAGAGACAAATTTCTGCAGCTGAGACTGCCTCACCTTACTAGGATGATTCATAAGGCATGCAATCACAATTCCTGCTTGAAATAGGTTCTCTTTTTCACTACATGGCAATCGTATTCCTTTTGCAAGTAATGATTTCCACAATTTCTTGATGGGCTTTGACATGCAGGCCCAAACCATGCAGGACTTCTTCCAAGGGGAAAAGTTTGATGGAGTTAAATTTATATTTCAAGTTGCCATGGCTTCCTGCCCCCATTTCTCTGTAAGCCTCTGAAGGCATACTCCTCTGTTTATCATCCTATAGAAAGAAAGAGAGATGCTCATCTGTAATGTCTCTGCACATCTGTGCTCTGGAAGAGGTGAATGACACATTTCATGGGAAACCATAGCAGACAGCATGTGGAGGAAAGGTCACTGGGCAATTCAAAACTCATTAGAACATAATGCTCCAGCAGGGAAAGTCTAAAAAAAAAAACAATGACAAAAAGAAAACAAAGTGGGGAAGAGGAAGATAGAATGAGAGAGAAGGAAGAGTGAGAGAAGATACAGAATAGTGATTAGAAAAACACAGCATCACCAGCTTTAGTCAGAGACGGACAAAGAGAAGCCTGCACTAAGAAATGTGCATGGTGTATAGACACTGGAAAAAGACAAAGCAGTGTATTCTCTCCAGAGCTTCCAGAAAGGAATGCAGCCCTGGCTAGCCCTAGATTTCAGCCCAGTAAGACCCATCCTGGATTCTCAGGTAGAATTGTAAGATAGTGCCTTGATTCGACTTTAAGCCACTAAAATCAATGTAATTTGTTCCTGCAACACTATGGAAGTGTCTTGTGGAACAGAGAGTTGCTGTTCTGTGCTTCATGGATGAGGGTCACTACTCCACCTCGTACTTTAACCACAATGATGATGGTGTGCCATCAGCAGTGGGTGGTGGCCTCACGCTCTGGGAGTTCTCCAGAGCTTTCACAAAATCCCTAGCTGTTGGAGAGTGGTCTCATTTTGTAATGGTGTGTTATGATTTGTAGAAGTCTGTGCCTTTCACGGGCATTTGTTTCCTGTCCTCTAAACAACAGAGCAATTAACTGGGTAGCGATTAACCCTGTGGGAGTCCATGCATAACTGAGAAACAGTGTCTAACCTTCCTAGAAAGAATGAAGGTTGAGAGGCCAATGAGGGCATAACATGAATCCAACCTGTTGAAGGTTTGAATTAAATTGGAAAAATACACAGTGCATCCTCTGTGGCTTTCACATCTCTGCCCTTCCCAGGCTCCTGAAGGGAAGGGACCGCATGCTCTGGTTTCTCATTCCTTTCTCCTTTCATACAAACATGCCATTCTTGGGAGGTCTTTCCATTCAGTACTCAGAGAACTGAATATAAGGAATTATATAAAGAGGAGGAAGGTCGTCCAATTCTCAAGTTAATTTAGGGTCAAATATCTTTGCCCCTGCCCACTTCTGGATGACAAAAGACCACTCTGCTAACATACCAGGGCTTTGAGACAGTACAGATGACCAGTGGGGTCAGGTTAGGCTCAAAGTCAAGTCTCTAGTCATCTTCCCTGTAAGGTCACCAGTATCATGATGTAATGCTCAAACTCTCACAGACTCTACCCTTCTGCTCAGGGATCCTATGCTTCATAGCAATGAGAAACAGTGACTGGAATGTATCTGCCAACCAGCCTTCCTCCTCACTTTTCGGGAACCACGTGGAGTACTGACTTCAAAGAATTATGCTAATACCAAGTACTGGTATAATTGGGTGACTTTCTGCAGTGGCTCCAATTCCACAAATGCATATTCATCAGAACTATTCCTGCTAGCTTCGTCTCACAGATCACAATGTTGAAAGTATAGGAATCTATCATCAGCATGGCTACGCGCCAACTGAAAGGCCCAGGATCGCCAAGGGAATGCACCTGACAGTCAAACCGTGGGGCGAGAAGTGTGGAGGTGTGTGTCCCTTGATGGGCCAGGAAGGGATTCAGTTCCTGTGTGTATGTTCAAATGCATATGGGAGTGGCTTATGGAAAAGAAAGGAGAGGAGCACATGTGTGCACTTAAGTGTTTCAGTACTTAAAATTACCCCAGGGAATAATAAGGCATGAACGATTGAAATCTGGGTGAAGAAACACAGGCTGGATGGCAAAAGAGAAAAAGTACCTCATCTAGGAGTTTGGTTAGAGACTGAGGTTGTGTCCTGAGAGACTGGGATGGGTGGGCCTCCAAAGGTAGGAGAGTACTGTGGGTTTCAGCCCATCTCCTGGCTGCCTGGGAAAGGCATGAGCTAACAAGTATTTTCCTTTGTATTTTCCAATAGTCCCCTCTTTTCTTCTTTGTCCTCTCTGGGATATATACTGGCCAGATTCTCCTATCTGACCCTCAGTTTTAGCTTTTGCTTTGCTTTTCTTCATGTCCTCTTCCTCCTCAGGTAAATCAGACTCCTCTTGGCTACAGTCTAGTTGGTATCAGTTTGGAGACTCCACCCTGAACATCTGACATCCACCATTGATAGAGAACAGCTCCCTGAACAGAACAGATGCTCAGAAATGGGGATGAAGGAGGGTGGAAGATGGTCTTGGCTCAGTATCCTCACAGCTTCATCTGGATACCCTCCCACATTACAGCTGTCAGAATGAGAAGTGAGATGGGGGTACCATATCCTTCCCAGAGCCGGAAGCTCCTGGCCCTTTCTCCCAACCCAGCACCACAGAACTGCATGTCTCAACGAATGCTCATTCCCTCTCCTCTGTTCTCACTTTGCACAGCTTTGCTGCCATCTTTCTCTGACACAGCCTCCCCTCTTTTACTGAACATTGCACTATTCTCCCCTCTAAACCTCTAAAGAGGGTAGAACTAGAAACACAACTGTGTTGGTAGAAATGAGAATGACTACATAAAGGAACCAGCATCTGATGGCTCCATCACCCCTGGCTCCATTTACCTTCGTGGTCCAGTACCATCTTCATTTCCATAACCTGGCAGAGAGCATAGCCCAGCCTAGCCCTACCACTTAACAGCATCACATGTTTTAAAGGTATCCAGTTCTAGAGATCTGAAAAAACCAGAGAAACCCACCTTTTGGTGAAGCAGAAGTTCACTGATAAGGTCTCCAAATGATCACATTTTGGGTATATTTTCCCTACCATTTCTTTCATTTCCCTAACTCTGTGTAGTTTTCTCCTAAAGTTTCCTGTTAGACTTAGAATCAATGTTATTCTTTGAAACAATTAATTAGTTCTCAAGTAGTTCCTACCAACTATTTTGTAAGACTGGGAACACTCATACTACACAATTAAATAAATTTCTTTTGGAAACATAATAGAACACACAGTAGTGCTCTGTGGGGACTTCTTGATGGACTGATTAGCTGCTCATTCCTTTCAAGAGAAAGTTCTTTATTTAGTTAGATGGTGGGTACAACTGGAGCTCACACACATTTTCTTCTGTATACCTGCCTCGTCCCCCATCCCTCGTCCCCGAAACTCCTAGGATGGCAGTCAACATACCACACAACCAGTAGAGTCCAATTTACGATCTGAAATGCAGCGGAAATTCTTACTGCAGCCTCCATTATCTTTGCTGCAGTCACGTACTGGCCCAAACGAATCCAAGAGGACCTCCAGGCTGTCAAAGGATGATGATGTCATCAGTTCCTCTCTGCAGGAAGAAGCAATAGAGGAGTCAAGGGATTCCAAAAGCACCAAATGTCCCTACATCCCATGTTGCAATCTGGTCCACTTCTGGTCTCATTCACTTATAAAAGTTAAAGACTAGCTTTACTCCAAGCCTTGAACTAACAAATCATGGGCATTCTCCATATCTAGGAAATGAGACAGTGCTACAAAGCCTGGTCAAAGAAGGAGGTCTGAATGTAAGCATTGCCTGTCATTCCTTGGGATGTGTAGGAAGTGCTTACAAACTCTAATTTTGTGTCCTCTTCAGTGAATGCGCCTTGAGTTATGCAACACTGACCTAGATAAAGCACAGATCCTGGCTCTGTGCTTGGGGAACTTGAAGTTGGCAGCTTGTCAACTTCAGCTTGCTGTGACTTTTTTCCATTGCCCAGAACCTTCAGTTAGTTTCTCACTCTATCCTGGAGCTTGACTCACCTGACCTCTACCGCATCTTCCATCACAGTCATGTCCGTCTTACACTTTGCTGATGGATTGATGGCCAGTTCAGCTGGAGGAATCACAAAACTCTTGCTGAGGGGCAGCCACATGCCCTCCCCAAGTGTATAGGTGAATCTGCATGGACACACATACCAGGTGGTAAGAACTGAGCATAACTCCCCACTACATTCTATTACTAGGTGTCTCAGCTATGGTCCTCGAGAATCTGAAGGGACACACACACCAGAAACACACACACACACACACACACACACACACACACACACACACACACACTGGGTGACCCTATAGGGACATACGCATCAGGTGAATCTGCAGGGATGCACACAAGGTGACTCTTCAAGGACACACACACACCTAATGGTTCTGCAGGGTTAAACACACACCAGGTGAATCTGCAGAGACTCACAGTAGGTAGTGATGGCTGGGTACAGCCACCCACTTGGGAATTTCAGCATTGTGTTTTCGACCTGCTTCCTTCTCAGCCAACACAGCCCTCTTAGGCAGGCGAGAGAACTGAAATTTCCCATTATGATGGCTTGACAGAGGCAGAGGGAGGCAAAGGGGCTCCCGCTCACAAGGCCAAACAACAGAAGATCTGATGTAGTAACCCATTCACGAGACACTGGAAGTTGCTTTGATCAAGCCATAAAAAGTGAGTCTCATCTTTTTGACAGTGGAAGCTGAGATCCCCCTGTCTTAAGTCAGAAGCAGTTTAATTGAGAAGCTATGTCAGCCTCCTCCATCCTAATCCTATGGCTGCGCACCCACAGTAGCAGTCAGGGTTTCTCCCCGCCTGGGGGAAGCCTGGAAAGGAAAAGGCAGGAAGAGAATTGCCTTTTCTGACTTCCATAAGAAAGGAACAGAAGTAACTGAAGCCGGGGGCCTCCACAGAAGAGAAGAAAGAGATGAACAAATGCACAAAGCGGGACTAGGTTTATTCTCTGCACTCCTACCCACACCCTGAGCTAACAATGCCAGCCCTTGGGATACAGAGAAGATTTTCTAATTTATTCTTATAACAAGAGCTAAAAGGAATAAAAGAATCAATCAGCATTTCAAGGGAGAACTTAAGGAAACCATGAGAGATTATTTGTTTATTTATTCATTCATTTCATTTCAAAGGCATTCAAATGCTCTGTGTTCACAGTCAAAAAATAGTCTATGGGATAAAAGCCAATGTGGGTGGGATACCACAAGACTGTGGCAGTCTGGCATCCCCTCCCAACTTGATGTGGAGGGAGGAACAATGGAAGGGTGCCTGCAATTAAGCAGAACCCTGCACAGGCTCTATCAGCATGCTTGTCACAGCCCCAGTTCAGAGCCTTGCTCCGCTCTTTCTTAACCCACACAGTCTCCTCTCCTCCTCGGTTTGCCTAAGATGCTAGGAAACCAGACTGGTGCCTTAGATCTTTTTTTGGAAAGTGCAGCCCTCCCCAGAACTCTGGGCACAGAGCAGATCCACAGACTGGCTCTGCTCAGCTAAGTGATTTCCTCCTGTACCTCGAAAGACGGCCCTTGGCACCAGAGCTGCTGGAAGAGGAGAAGGCAAGTTCCAGCTTCACTGCAGGGGATTTGGGAAGTCAGACAAGCCTCTTGGAAGTGGGATGTGGCCACAATTTGGGGGATTTCTCTTCTATTTCTCCTGTTTTTTAGTCCCCTACACCTTTGAACTACTGTGATGCTCTGGATGTTTCTTGGTCCAATGGAGGCTCTCAGATCTCCCCATCTCAAGGGGTATGAAGCAGTAGATAGAACCAGGTCTCTGCAGGGAAGGGAAAAGCCTTCGGGGTGGAGCAAAAGACCATTGTTTCATTTTTTGGTAAGTCAAGTAGCAAAACTGAAGACACAGCAGCACCTTTACACACACACACACACACACACACACAACATAAGTCATATGGCAATACAGCAATAACAAAGAGCTGATACAGGGCTAATAATGCCCTCCTGAAGTGTCTGAGACTTAAAGGTGAATGCGGGCAAAAATATACAACCTACAAGCACTTACATGATCTCACTTTGTATTGATAAAGGACATTCCTGAGGTGGCCACTTACATGAGGCAGGCATTGGCAGGGGTACCACTAGAATACACCATCTCAGAGAGAACAACCCACTCGTGAAAGGCATCTGGATGAAAGCATTTCATTGGACACTGAGCTCTGTTTTTGATTTTGTTTTAAAATTTTTAATTTTACTTGGATTATCTAAGGGGTTTTAGGAAACATTTGGCAGGTCTAGTATATTTGTGATGGTATTCATTTTTATGGAAGAGTGGGGTCCTTACCTACCTACCTCACAGTGTTCCCTTTATTATTCCTAAGGAAAAGTAATCCATAGATTTCTCCAGCTAAAATTATTTGACATGCTCCTGTGCATAGAAAAAAAAGTTCAAGGCTCTGAAGGTGTTCCTTCCAGCATGCCTTTGTCTTCTTCTCTCCCCAACTGTTCTTCATATTTTGTGTTCCCTCCGTGCCATCTATCTTCAGTTCCTAAAAGCCTTCTTAAAGTTTCATCACACCAACTATGCTCCTAATATTCCTTCTTTCTAGATTTTATTTTCTCTTTTCTCCATCCGAACTGACTCATTTTAAGACTCATTTACAGTTCCAAATCCTTCCAGAAAGTATTCCAGAAGCTTAATCTAGGGGCTCTCCTCTGTCCACTTTACACAATCCCTTGCTGCTCTTATTGAATAGAATTATACCTGTCTTCTTCTGGGTTGATCATAATAAAAATGTGATTTCTTGAGTAGCAGAGAACAGCTGTTTGTCATCTGTGAGTCCCCACTACCTATCACAATCTCTAGCCCAAGGATGTCACTCAATGAATACTTGTTGACTAATTAGTAGGATATTTTTTTCTTTCATTTTAAGTGCTGTCTTGGTGATACCACCTCTGTCTTCCAATTTAAAGGTGGAAATATTAGGGCAACTAATCCTTCATGTTAAGCAAGATGAGAATTAATCTTTGAGCTTAGATGGATGTAGTGATCAAGGTAGATCCTCCATGTAAAGCAGAAGATGAGTTAACCTCTAGGTTTGGATGGATCTAGTGGTCAAGATGGATCTGGGATTGATATTTTGAAGAACCTTATAAGTACACAATAGTATTTGTGGCACTGCCCCAGAGAATAAGTAAAGCAATGTAATCTCCTGTGGTGGTTACATCAAAGTGAAACCCAGTACGATAATCCAAGTTAGATGTTGCGCGGAGCTAACTTTCTGAGGAACTCTGAAAAGGGCAGGCACTTTGCGAAACTAATCATTTATTCTCACGATGGCCCTCCAAAGTGGGTGCTTCGGCACCATTCTACAAACACATTGTCTAATATCTTAAGGAGGTTAGTAACCTCCCAATATCAACCCTTTTATGAAAGAAGATGGATTTGGTCAGGTCTGGATCACAGCAGCTTTCCATCCCATGCTGGCTCATGCCTACAAAATTCTAAAGCTTTCTTTCATCTGCAGAATCTACTGAACAACTCCAAAATCCAAATATAGACTAAGCTGTCAGAGAAAAGCTGTGTCCTGAAATCTCATCTGTCCTTCATTTATGCACATTTGGCAGGAATTACTTTAAAAACCCCACCCAAGAGAAGTCGAGTGAGCATCTGGAATGTTCTCCCAAGTTGACCTTCTCTAGAAACAGGTGGTGGTGACCACTGAAGTTGAGGGCTCAGCTGTATGCTGCATAGTCCCGTTGAACCACAGCTAGAAATTTATGTGCAGAAGCAAACGCTTATCAGACAGCACTAGACTGAATATGCCTGTGTTTTGTCTGACTTGGTACAAAAAGGAATGCGGAAAAATGATAAACAGTCTTGACCTGGCCTCTTTGCTCTTTCCTAGGCCAGGCTATTCTAGGACAAAACATTTTTCCCAGGGAGGCAGGTACACACATGGAGGGAAATTCATAGTGAGAAAAAATGGGCTGTTTCGTGCCTTCTTGATTCTTCCCAGTCTATCCTGGGATTGCTGGTTACAAAAGTTAGGTTTCTTATCAGTTTCCTTCCCAGTTTGATTTCAAAAGCTTAAGAGATACCTAAAACCAGCTCCTTCCTATACCTACCAAAGTCCTAATGTGCTTCAAACTAGACCAAATATGTAAAGCTCTCTACAACAACACCTCTTCCCTCAAGAAGATAACCACTGCATTGAGAAGCAAATGGCCAAGTCAAAAACAAATCTGAGATCATTTAATTGACAAATAACTATTATAGTTAGTCATGTGGCTTGGCACATTGAAGCCTTAGAGCAGCAGTGTTTATAATTTGTGGCTATAGATTAAAATTAGCATGGCATGTTTGGAAAATATCCATTTCCTGGACACAAGTCCTTGTACTTTGAAATTAACTGATTTGTGCTAGGTACATTGGTTCTTATAGAACTTGGGGATTCTCACACAGGTCCAAAGATAAAGACCACTTCATGAATAAATCTGCAAATTTAGAGGCAGTGATCACATCTGTTTGGTCACACCTATAGTATCTGAAATAATGCTTTGCAATAGTGAGTTTTCAGGAATTAACAGATGTGGAGGCTGGGTCTGGACCATGGGAATACGCAATATTTATATTAGGAGGAAAGGTTGCATTCTAAATGAAAATCCAACAAATGGCAGCAAATATTGGAGACAGTGGATCTGGAAGACAGATTTCACTAATAATGGAAAGTCCCAGAGGTAAAAATCAGCATATTTAATGTATGTCAACATTCAGAGGTATAAAGGTTTGAATGCCAAAATTTAAACATTATTCTACAGGTCAGGGAAAATACACAGTGGCTTGGAATTGATTAAGCTAAAATCATGAATTACTACAGAAGCAAATAAATAACCAATGTTCATCACCAACCAGATCATTGCCTTTCCAGAATGGTCATTCATAAATGGTTGGCTTAGATGCCAGAGTGATTTTAATTAAAAAGTGTCCAAAATAAGTATACTGTGACCCTTTGCTTTCCTTTGAGAAAATAGTTATTGTCATGTTAGGTACCAAAATTGTTAATCACATATTGATCAATCCATTGGCTCCTGAGGGAGTTGAGTCACAGATTAAACCACACACCTGCTCCCCTCTGTAAGCTGTCACATCCATTTGGCAGCCAAAAAGTTTGGAAAAAAAAAAAGATACTTGCAGAGAAATAACACATTTTGTGTGTGTGTGTGTGTGTGTGTGTGTGTGTGTGTGCGTGCAAGTCTTGCACTAATAAAGATTTGTTCAAAACCTTTGATTTTTTTTTTTTACTATTAACTCGTGACTTTTAGGGAACAGAGAACTTATCTATGTTAATCATTAAAACTTCTGGCTCCCCAGAGCCTCACTTTTGTTACCCTCACAGGTCCTGGCAGATGAACAATAGGAAAAGGGAGAAAAAAGTCATCCAGATGATAAATCATTGTTGGAAACTTTAAATGACCAAATGACAGTCGAAGGAATACTGCTGACTTCCCTTAAAGCACAAATCTTCAAGAGTATCCTGCAGCCAGTTCCATTAACATGACCCAGCCTGTCCTGGGACAAACACTCAGGAGACCAAAGGGCAAGGAGAAGTCCTCTTAGGAAGAGATCTTGTAAATATGCGCCATAACTGAGATCACTGTTGGCCAGCTGTATCCATCCCAAGCTATTAGGAAGAATGGTACAAACTGCATGCAGTATTGCTCAAGGGGGTAAACACAGAGGCAAAACTAACACCAAAACCAAATGTGGCTGACAAGAGAAGGAATTTGGAAAGGTAATAGTGGGTGAACTTCAGCCAGCTGCACGGCTGCAGTGACAAGAAAGCCAAGTCTTCCACCTGCCCTCCACTGCTCATCTCTCCAGCAACAAACAGCATGCAGTAGCTGAGTTCATCCTTTGACATCAGCCACCCGTGAAGGTCTGTTCACTTGCTCTACTAGAGGGCTTGCTCATGGAAGGAGAAGAAGTCATACCCACACTGCTGGGCCAAACCCAACCTCTGGCTCTAACTAAACACAAGCGAATATATGTTAAGTGAAGGACAAACTGACTAAAGGAATGAACAATATGATCTTAGATTAGAAATGAACTTGTGTTCCAGAAAAGGCCTGGTGTGAATTAAATTTTATGAAAATTCAATAGTTCATGGCCGGCACCCAAAATTGCTCTTTGGTTGAGAGTCTTTCTAATATGTGCTATTCCCAGCTACACAGGTAGAAAGTTGGGAGGGCCTAGAAGCATCAAATTTGATCAGGAGGGTAATGGATAAAAGAAAATAATAATGAGGTAAAGTTTAGGAAAGGGGGAGGCAGGGGCAGGAGAGATTAATTTTGAGCAACTTAAGACTCTATGAGGAAGGTGCAAATTACATGTAAAATGGAGAGGCAGAAACTGACATTAATTGCCTGTTCTGTGCCAGGTTTTGTGCCAGGGATTTTCCCTACATTATCTCATATACCCCTCACAATAATCTAGCCAGGCTTGTCATATAGCCCCATTTAACAAATGGGGAAACTAGAGGCTCAGACTTTAAGCAGGTTACTGAGGTTCATTGAGATGTCAAAGAAAGAAATCAGAACCCAAGCAGAGTCTGTTGGACTTCAGAGTCCTTCATGTGGCCACTGGGTATGACTGGGGGCAAGTACTTTTCTTGGGAGATAAGCAGAACAAGAAACCGTGTTTCCTACTTTATACTTCAGCACTAGGAATGTTCAGTGGGAGGTGGAACATTGAGTGTGTAGACATACATAATCATGTCCCTGGATTTGAACTTACCTGAATATTTTATCAGAGGGTTGTTCTCCCAAAACCAGGTCAAAGCCTCGCTGAAATATTGTGTAAGGCCAAGGTCTAAAAGGAGAAACATGATTCAATTAAAGTCCACTCAACAAACACTCTCTTTATGCTGGGTACCACAATAGGCTCTAAAGACCCAAAGATGAAGAGCACATAGTCCCTGCCCTCAAGAAGCTCGCAGATATGAGCTCACCTACAACCTTGAACCCTGGAATGGAACCAAGAACAAGGTCAAAGTAAAAAAAAAAAATCACTGAACCACTAAGAAAGTAAAAGTTAGCAGACAGGACAATTGGCACTACACAGAGAAAGGTGGGCTTCAGATGGCTGTAAAGACAGTCCTCAGATGGTCCTTCTCAGAAACTGAGCCTTGCCCTGTTTAAGGAAGAGCAGCAGGATGTCTTAGGAAAGACAAGTTCTTTGGAACTAAGCAGTGCTGGATGCAAAGCTTGCTGTACCACTGAGCCAGCTATTTGAATGAGGCAGGTTATTTGTGTTTAGTCTACTTCCTATTTAAAAACAGGGTTAGTAATAGCTGCCTTATAGTCCCTCATGAAGATTAAGAAAGTTTTTAGTTTAAGGGCTACAAGTCAGTCTTCAATACGTTTCTTTTCCTACTTAAAATGACTCGAGGATTCTTGGTCTTTCATACATTTCAGATATCTTCAGATATTTTAATGTCACTCATACAAACAGAAAAAAATAGGAATTTTCATATAATTATTAACTCTACCTTGCTAGCAAACATTTAAGTATTGACAAATGTACTAGAAAGTATCAAAAATATCTTTTAAATGTGTTGGAGAGATGACATAGTGGTTAAGAGCACTGACTGCTCTTGTAGAGGACCCAGGTTTAGTTCCCAGCATCTACATATCAGGTAACAACTGCCTGTGCACTCCAACTCCATAGGATTCAAGACCCTCTTTGGCCTCCGCAGATATTGTATGACATAGATGAACTTACATACACAGAGGCAAAACACACACATAAAATAAAAATAAATAAATCAACAAAATATTCAAGAAATATGTTTTTTACAAACTAATCTATTGGAACCCCAAATAAATTACTCATTCAAACAAGATTAGAACTTGTTCTGAGTACTGAGATATTGTATACACTGGGTGGGCTTAGCCTTTCCAAATGGAACTTACAGTCTCATAATTAATCCAATTATTGAGGATTTATTTTGGTGATTCTTCTGTTTTCCAATGGTTACAAAAAGTCAGAAGAATATGTCACAATAATTATTTGGGAAGAAAGATAATATTAGGCATTAACCTTCTCAGCTAACCTTGCCAGTGCAAAGAGTGTCATCTGATAGGATTGAGGAAAATGTATGAGGTTGTTCTTCAATGACAAATTGATTGCTGAACATCACTGGCATTTAGAAAGTAGGAATAGGATGGCTGGAACACTGCAGTGCCCAAGACTGTTCTGCACAACAAAAGCTTTTGAATGTCATATGGCCATTTGCTCAAGTGCTGTCAACCTGTTTATAAATCTGAGTCTGGATATTTATGCTCCTTACATATAAACACAAAGTAGCTGGTGCAGCTTTAACAGAAGATCAATTTCAGGTGTGTAATTATTATACAGACTGAAGGAAGATTACACATTGTATAATCATTACTTCATCCATGCAGCGTATACAGATTTGGGGTTTGTTTGGCTTTGTTTTTTTTGAGATATGATCTAATGCAACCAAGGGTGGCCTTGAACTCGCTGTGTAGCTAGAGGTAGCTTCAACCTCCTGATCTTCCTGCGTCTCCCTCTGAAGTGTTAGGAGTGCTGGAGTGCAGGGTCATACCAGATGCAATATAGCATATCCTCACCAGTCTATATTGTTCTGATGTATCATTTATTATTACGTTAAGGTGAATTATATTAGGTACAAATGTCTGACAATGGCACTTTTTGTGGTGTAGTAGAGTATTTAGAGGTTAAGTAGTTATTGTATCATTATAAATTACCTCGATATTTCTCATTTAATTACTACTAAAGCATTCTATTTACTTGCAGAAATTTTGTGTATGTAGATTTCATTATTTATGAGCTTAAAATATTTGCTATAAGACAGGGTGTTGGGCCAAATAAGGATGAGGATCTACAGCAAAATCTAACCAGCTAACCATTTATCTCCTCAGGGCTGTGACAGGGATGTTGAGGACATCAGGACTATGTAAGGGAACAGATAGTACAAATGTGCTCATTTTTTATGCTTACTATTTTATAAATACACTATTCCTAAGATTCAATTTAGAAATACCCCAAGGCTCCAAAAGTACCCAAACACTATGCTGTGAATAGCCCCCACATCAAAGGAGCAGCTCCCTCACAGATGTTCTCCAAGTTTATTCTGTTTACCATACATGAATCCGGAGTAGCCTTTGAGTCCGCCTCTGTTTGACTGAACAGTAAGTAGTGTCTTGTGAACACTACAAAATACATATTAAGTCGAGAAAAGGTCAAATTCATGAGGGCAAAATGACTCAGTTTATCCTAAATACTAGAGCAACTTTTCATTTTTATTTTTTTTTAAAAAAAGAAGAGATATGTTACTTCATCCTTTGTTCAGGGACAGAATCATATTTATTTACTATTAGTTTAATAATTTTAAATAACACGTTTTGCCTTCAAGTCATCTCTAGTATCAAAACTGGTACAATGTGTAATTAGAGTGAATTCTTGGCATGGTTCCTAGGTTGTTTGAAGACAAATGGTAGGACTGGCATTGATTACAGTGTGAACATGAATTGCATAGCGTGACACACACAGGCCTATCTTTAAGGCAGCTAATGAATCAGTGAGCTTGGAAACATTCATTAAGCACACATCTACATGTTGTTCAGTGAAAGTCAGAGAGGCCTCTGGCTCTTGACTTATGAAAAAATAGAACCAAGTAATATTGGAAGGATTCAGATGCACAGTGCAGACTCCACCTTGCTCACACTAGAGGCAGTGGGGCAGAGCAGTTGGGACATATGTTCTGGAATGAGTCTGCCTGTTTCCAGCTCCACTAACAATCCCTATGTGACCTTGGGCAAGTTCCTTAATCATTCTATATCCTTATCTATAAAATGAGGCTGGTGGTAGTAACTGTGTCTGCCTGGCAGGGTTGTTGTGAGGAAGAACTAGTTCATATAAGTAAAATGCTCAGATTGATACCTGGCATTTAATGAGTGTCATAGAATATGTTAAATTTACTAATTACCTGGATCAAATATAAATCCCATAATAAGAAGTGATTTCTGCATTTCTGTAGAGGAAGACATGTCTTCCCCCAAGGTGCAGATGCAATGCCAACACAGACTGCAATTCACATTATGGGTATTGTGGTGGTTTGAAGGAAAATGTCCCCCATAGGTTCCAAGTATTTGGACATTTTTGTCTCCAGTTGAGGGAGCTGTTTTAGGAGGTCTTAGAAGGTGTGGCCTTGCTGGAGGAAGCATGTCACTGATGGTGGACTTAGATAGTCCGTAAGCCTTGCCGGATCTTCAGTTGCTCCCTTGTTTCCTGTGTCTGCTTGAAGATGTAGAGCCTAGTTTCCTCTCCTCCTCCAGCCACCTCTGCTGCCATGCCTCCCGACAAGAAAGGACTCTTGCCCCTTGGAACTGTAAGCTTAAATAAACTCTTCCTTTTATAAGTTGCTTTGGTCAATGTTTCTATTACAACAACAGAAAAGTAACTAATACAGGTATATTAGAATTTACTGGAGGGGAGACAATGGTGAGTGTGTGAAAGCTAAGGGTCCCCATCTAGGGAAGTTAAATATACAGTACTGACACTAATTACCAAGAGAAGGGGAAGAGAAGTCAGGGAGTTGCTGACTGTACTAACAAAGGAATAAAAGGAAACATTTATTTTCTTCCCACTAGTCAGGGATGATCTGCCAAAGATGGGAATTCTAACTTGATTTATTCACCAAATATTTATGGAAGCCTATTGTTTGAGAACTGTGGTATTAGGCAACAGGAATCAGAATAAAGTGAGTCTTGTCCTCCAAGGAATCAGCAGTCTTTCAGAAGAAACACATATCAGCTCAGATGAAGAGAAGAGCATGTTAACAAGGAACAGGAGCAGAGGTTCAGGAGGCAAACTCATACTGGCTGGTGATAGATCAGCCATCTAGAGTACAGAGAAGGCTGTGCTTGCCAATGCCTGGAATGACAGTGTGGGGAGCTTGGCTTCCTGCACTGGGGAGGCTACAGGGGTGATCCAGGAATAGGCATGAAATAATGAAGAGGTGGGAATAAAAGCACCAAAATACTTTGAAGTTGATGATCAAGGACCAAACAAAAGGGAAAAGTTTTCTTTTTTTATTAGAGCTCCAAGTACAAGTCAGATAGGGAAAATGCCAGGACCACCAGGAGACCCATCCAGCTTAGAGGAAATCACCACTTTGAGGCTGGAAGCCAGATCTAAAGCCTGGTACAAGTCCTTCTCCTTTCTTTGCTCTGTTGCCAACAACATGGGTTCTGTACTCTCCACATGGCTAATGTACATGGTAGATGCCTTCACCAGCCCCAGCAAAATCTCCGAAGGCCAAGAATGCCCTCTCCCTCATTAGGAAAACAGTATCTGCGGAATAATTGCTTGGCATATCCCAGGTCTCTGGATTAGTCTGTGGGCCAGGAGGAAGAGGCATCAAAGCAGGTCACAGCTCCCATTATTTTTCCAAGGTTAGAGTTGCGAGAAGGTAGGCAGTAATCAAAAGAGTAACTTCTACCTCAGCCTCTACCGGTTTGTGGTGCCTCCATCAGGAGTGAGCAATACTGCTAAATGGACTGTGGAGAGGGCACTGGGTCATTGTGGAGCCATAGGTCAGCCCACAGTGGAGGCCACTTACAGAGCAGGAGCTTACCATGGAAGGAACATTTGGTCTCTTATCTCTACTTGACTAGGTGGCCTCTAATATTCTCTGTGCTGCATTGGGGGCAATGCATCCACATCTTAGAGAAATCAGCAGGCTCAGAAATCATAAACAATGTTTTGATTTGGTAAGATTTTAATGCTGACAAATAAGGCCCTGACCCTCCTCCTCTCATGTG